GTAAAAAAAGCCAAGTCTTCAGGAAGATTTTAAGATGTGCCATGGCTGATCAGAGACCAGTTCAGTGCTGTCAGAATGTAAACAAGTCGGTCACCTGTGACTCTGTCCTCATTCGCAGCTCTATTATTGTGAAGTCAGTGAAGCTTCTTGCAATAACGCCATTTTCTGCAGCTGGTGTTTCCGCTGGTACAATGAGGACGATGTGAGGCGTTCCACCCTTCATAACTTGAGAGGCAGGAATGCCGAGGACGAGTGGCCAGTTCTTGGCCAGGCACATTTGAGTGAATGAAAGTCATGAAAGTGGAGAGGTGAGTTTCGCTGATTCTGGTGGCATCTTCCTGCATTGCTGGCAAAACATCTGTGTGTGTGTGTTGCAGGACTTAGCATCTTGGGAGGCGGCATCGAGCCCGCTATGCAAAATCAGCTGAAAAACGTGCGGCAGATTCAAGCGGGACGATCTGCTTTGGTCCTATTGTTACCTGAGGCTCGCGACACGATCGAGGTCCAGGTCAGGGTATGAGCCCTCACTGTAACTCTATGACTTTATGACTCATGACTCATGGACTCTACGACTCTTGACTGTATCGGCATTTCGAGGTCCAAGTCAGGCTCTGAGCCCTCACGCTAGGCGGATCTTGATTAAGCGTTGCCACACACAGAGCATAGAGTGAACTACATCGAGTCAAGTGTATGGTACAAAGATGACTCCACGACTCCGTGACTCTATCTCACTACAACTCTATGACTTTATGAATCATGACCCATGGACTCTATGACTCTTGATTCTGTGACTTTACGATCCTTTACAGTGACTCTATCTCACTACGACTCTATGACTCTATCTCACTACAACTCTATGACTTTATGACTCATGACCCATGGACTCTATGACTCTTGACTCTGTGACTTTACGATCCTATACACTGACTCTATCTCACTACGACTCTATGACACTATGTCACTGCAACTCTATGACTTTATGACTCATGACTCATGGACTCTATGACTCTTGATTCTGTGACTTTACGATCCTATACACTGGATCTACCACATAACCCCACAATCTTCGCTGATGATGCTTTCGGGCCATTTGCCTTCTAGTTATTTTGACGATTTCCTATCGGCCTGCAAGCCTGAGGAGAGCCGACATGTGGAAGTCGTGATCAGCACTCTGTTTAGGCTTCTAGGTTGGGATCTTTCACTAGATAAACTTTTGCCTTACGACGTGTGCTGTAAAGTCCTTGGAATCAAGATTGACATGGCTGAAGCTCGCCTGGGTCTCTTCAAGTTGGCGAACACCGACAAACGTGTGCTGGAGTTGACTGCTGCCTTGGACGAGGTCTTGTTAGCTGGCAGGTTGTCGCATTCTGACTGCGAGAGACTTCGAGGTAGGCTGCAGTTTGCTTCTGGCCAGTTGTTCGGGCGAAGGGCGAAGGTTGCTCTGCACCAGCTTAGCAGCTTAGCAGGCATCATGGACGTCGGTTGAGTGAGGTCACTTCCGAGGCGTGTCGCTTCTTGAGGTGTTTGGTTTCGTCCAACCAAAGCCGCTCGATTAGTCGACAACTGGGCAATGTTGTCCGTGTGTATGTGGATGCATCTTTCAGCGATGAGGGCAGGCTCTGTGGCATCGGGGGCATGGCCTATGACCATAAAGGCTCATTGCTCCAATGGTTCGGTGAAAACCTTGATGCTTCGCTTGTTTCCCAAGTCATGACGTCCTTTGAGCGTGTCAAAGAGACTGTCATCTTTGAGCTGGAGGCTTCGGCGGTATATGTCGCGCTGAAGTTTTTCTTCAAAGCTCTTAAGGGCAAGAATGTGGTTGTGTTCACTGACAACGAAGGTGTTCACGGCGCCTTCGTGAAGTGCTGGACAGTGAGTCAGTTTGCAACGCATGTCATCGATGCGGTATGTGAGATTGAGAAAAGTCTTGGCTTTATGATTTGGTACGATCGAGTTCCGTCTGCAAGTAACCCTTCGGATCCGCTTTCGAGAGGAGTGTGGAACCTGCCGACACCCGTGCGTGTTAGGCCTGCGGCGAACTTCTTTGAAGGCTTTCTTGAGGAGTCGAAGTCTCGACTGAAGTGAAGCGCACAAGTGGTGCAGCGGCAAGTAGTCTGGGCCTCTAGTGCCAAAGACAGGGGCAGGGCAAGGCACTGCGATGCCCCATTCACGAGTGAAAAGAGAGCCGTTAGTGTGAGCTGAATTTTTATTTGATACGAAGTATACATTTGGATGAAGAGTGATACATCCTGAATTTATATATGTGTACTCTTTTGTATATATGGAATATTGAACGCCCGGTTGACACATAAAGGGAAAATAAGACGCAACTCCGCGAATAGCGGATGAAGCTTTATTTTCCCATGTGTCAAAAATTTTGGTTTGTCAAACAAACTCAAAATTTAGGGCGTGAGTTTTTATCAAAGTTTTCTTAACATGAGATGTGACAGTTCATGTTGAGCGGATTCCAATGAAGTCTTTGTTATGCCGTCAGTTGGCTCCACAGGGTGGTGGGAGGGTAAGAAAAAATTTCCGGCGTAAGTCCGGAAAAAAGTTTTGTCCCACCCAGCCCGCCCTGGTTGTTATATGCACAAGTTTTGCTGCGAAGTTTCGCAATGATGCAAGTGGCATCTATTGCCCAGTAATATTTTCTGTGCAAATCTGTTTCTGCCATGATGTTGAGACTGAAAGAAGCAAACGCCCTGGGCCCGAGCCCAGGGCAAGGCACTGCGATGCCCCATTCACGAGTGAAAAGAGAGCCGTTAGTGTGAGCTGAATTTTTATTTGATACGAAGTATACATTTGGATGAAGAGTGATACATCCTGAACTTATATATGTGTACTATTGAACGCCCGGTTGACACATAAAGGGAAAATAACAAATATGTGTTCATCTAATGATCATGTGCATAAATGCTTGTGTCGTCCAGTGGATCATATTGCATGTGGTATTGAAACGAACATGACAATCAACATCTAGTACCTGTTCGTACTATCCAACACACATAGTTGCTTGCAGCTTGTTGGATCAAAGATATTTAAAGTTAAGCACCATGGCACCGAAGCCGAAGGCCAAGCCGGCAGCAGGGGGGAGGATGGGCCGGGTGAGGACTCCGAAGCGCTGCCGCCAACCGTTGTGAATGGCATTGGTGAAGAAGGCGGTGGGGCGGAAGGCAGAGTGCCAGGGCCACCCATGGGTCCGCCGCCGCCAAGGCCTGTGAATCGGCCACCTTTCCCGAGACCTCCCGCCCCTGCGCGACATGAGTTTGAGATTGCCCAAACTGTGGCAGAAGCGTTGGACATTCTTGAGACCCCGATCATGATCAACTTCGAGCCGGATGTGGTTACTGTTAGGGAGGGCCGCATTGTTCTGGTCACCCTTCAGAACTTGACACCTGAAGAGATGCAACGTCGGCAGTTGGAACGGCGAATTTGTGCCATGTGTTTCAATGCTCCAGACAACCCGCCGCCACCAATAGTGCCGCCAAGGCCGCAACTTGAAAATGGCTATCCTCGCTCTAACAATAACGCCAACAGTGGAGCTGCTGAAGGCAGAGTGCCAGATGAGTTCGAAGGTGGAGGAGTTCGTGATCGAATCCTTTATCGTTTGGAGTCTCCCACGGGGGCCTGGTTGCATGAGCCAGCTCGTGCAGAAGGTGAGATTCACGCCTCAGATTCAGATGTGATTGAGGAAGGTGTTCGAGATGTTCGTCTTGGTGAGCTTGGAGGAGGGTGCTTTGGGGATTGATTGTGGGCACATCTCAGAAGAAGACCCGGACTGGAGTCAGCGCCACTCAGCGGATGGAGCCCCCTCAGATGTGATGGAGGAAGGTGAGGAGTCAGACTCTGAGGCTTCTTCCATTGATGCTGTTTGTCAGATGGCAGACTGATTATTTTAACTCACCAGCAAAGACTGCATAGAAGGCAGAGTGCCAATGCAGAATCTGGCTGACAAGTGGCTGCCACCTCGTTTGTTTCGCAATCGTCGAGTGATATGGATGGACTGCTGTGTGCGGTACCAGAAAAACGAGAGTCGAGTGAGGGTCTGCCAGTACTGTATTTGATTGCTTGAGCATGAAGTCATGGTCTGCAACAACTATGCCATGTGTGAATTTCAACAAGTGATGTCATCATGTCTGTCTCATCCTTGTATTGTGATGGATCATTCTTTGTGGTGTGGTGGTTTTCAAGCTCCTATAAATCTTCCTCGTTCTTACCGGGGGAAAATCTTATAGCCCCATTCGTACTATAACATAAATGCGAATATGTCTCAACAAATATGTTGACCTCTTAGAGGTCTATAAATTATGAAATCTTCCAATCACAATATACATATTTGAAAAGGGATCGGTCCTTTCTTCTTTCAAGCGATCTGGGGTCTCACGAGGCTGCGCTGCTGCACCAAAAAGGTTTGAAGTCTCCCGGCCACTCTCCCTGTGGCCTTCAAGCGAGCCCCAAACCCGGGTGGGCTGGGAGGGCAAGAAAATTTTTCTCTCGCCCTTGAGTAGCAGCGCAGCCATAGAACAATTCTCAACAAGTCCATGCTTCGCACATGAAAAATTTTCTTCAATACTAAACAAATTCTTCAAAGAGAGCATGTTTAAAATCATGCATCATGAGCTCTAGAAAACCCGCACTCTCCCCGTGCTGACCACCCCCCAAAAGAAAGACTAGTCGGCACGCCGAAGACGCCCTTCTTTGTGGTGTGGTGGTTTTCAAGCTCCTATAAATCTTCTTCGTTCTCACCGGGGGAAAATCTTATAGCCCCATTCATACTATAACATAAATGTCAATATGTCTCAGCAAATATGTTGACCTCTTAGAGGTCTATAAATTATGAAATCTTCCAATCACAATATACATATTTGAAAAGGGATCGGTCCTTTCTTCTTTCAAGCGATCTGGGGTCTCACGAGGCTGCGCTGCTGCACCAAAAAGGTTTGAAGTCTCCCGGCCACTCTCACTGTGGCCTTCAAGCGAGCCCCAAACCCCAGATCATCTCACGCTCGGTTGAAGGCCTGGATTCTTCCAACAAGCTCTTCAAGTCTCGAGAAGGGTTGCACACAAGATGCTCCGACCGTCACCAAAGACTCCTCTCCTTGGTCTCTCGACGGCGCATCCCCCGGATTGGAGTAGGATGGGACTCTGCAAACCCACCACATGGATGGCCATTCTCTGTCGAGCTCAGAGAACACTCGGGCTAAAGTGTGCATGGCCCAACTGCGGCTGGCGCCCTTGATCATGACACCTCTGGTTGCATCGTTGTCAACCCACCACACTATGCGGCGAGACGACACAAGAGCATTCAGTTGCAGCAGGGAAGCTAGCACAGCAAACATGTCGATCTCGCAGATGAGTTGCTCTCCTACCTCTGCTTTCCAAGATTCAAGCAACTGCAACGGGACCTTTCCTGTGAAGACCCAGCCTGTTCCACTGAAGCAATCATGGGCGGCTAGACCAATGCCTCCAACATCAGCTTCCCACGATCCGTCGGTCCAAAGATGGATGATGTCAGTTATCATCGCACAGCTCAAGACTCTAGGGTTCTCGTGCTTCAGCAAAGAAACGGTGTGTCTACAAAAGTCACTAAGGTCCCTAGGACTAAAGTGCAGACCCCCAACAATCCTCGCAAGAATGTGCGACGCATGCTTCAGCGATCGGCCTGCGTAAAAGCCCGAGGCGTACTGCAACAGGCCTTGGATGACCTGAGCCTCGTGTCGTCGGATTTCTCCTTTCAAGCTGATTTCCTGAAGACGGTCAACAATCCTCTCTATCCTGCCCTGTTTGTTGGCTAAGACTACAGTACCCTTAGCAAGATCACCTAAACCCAAATGCATACCAAGGACGTCGAAGTCTGACGCAAAGGGGCGTCCTTTCGCGCCCGTCTTGGCGTGACGCCATCCTAGGGCATCCAAGAACGCACTCGCCGTGGAGTCTGCGTTTTCTGCGCTACCTGCCGGCGACATCAAAGGATAGTCATCGAAAAAGACAGCAGCTGGTATACATAGAAGTTTGTTCAAGAGAAACCACAGGGCCCTAGAAACCCTATTGAAGGCATAAACCGCTGCAGTGCTACCAAACATGAGCGAGTTCGAAATGTATAGGGCATCCTTTCCATCCGATTGCCTAACGGCAATCACTGAAAGAGGTCGGTGACTCGGATGGATAGCAAGTTGTTTGTACGCTTTACTGAGGTCAAGGGTTTTGCCCTTCCACTCCGATGCATCCTTGTGCGCTCGGCCTTCGCTCACTTCCCTCGCTACGTGGAGGGCCATGGCTGAGATGTAGTCCGAATCTTGTAACCGCAGGTGAATGCTGGAGCTGTAGCCCGCGTTTAATTGGGATTCCAAGCAGTTGTCTATGGGTCTGGGTTTTAGCTCTGCCCCCTGGAGCAAAACAAACCTTCTGATGACTGTCCAATCGTTGGTTCCCAGCAATTCCGTAATCTGGCTCTGATCATAGTAGGGGCCCTCCAAAAAGCCCATGGCCACTTCCTCATCCGTGGCCTCCTTCAAGATCCGTGCCTCCTCCGGGTCTACCCTTTCGAACTTACTCAACAAGGACTTTCGTCTGGTGGCCGCTGAGGCCATGAGCTCCGTCTCTGTCAAGAAAGCGGGGACAAACTTACGATCAAAGCATTCTGGGCATTGGGAAGTCCCGACCAACCTTACCCCTTCTTTTAAGAAACCGATGACTTCAAGATCGTCGTAGCCCTCGGACTTGAGTAAAGATTCCAACGCCAAAATGGATTTGCCGCTCATAACCTTAGCCACTGCCGGGTGCATGGCCTTGTGAAGCTCCGCCTCAGCATCACTGCATCTCTTCACCTCCTGCTTCACTCGCGCCACTGCCAAGTTTCGCTTCAAGACTATGAGCCTCGGGTCTTTAGTCAAGTTTTCTTTCAAGGCAAACAACGTGGCTTTCTCAAGTGGGTTTGAAGAATCTACTGGATGAATGACCTTCTTAGCCTCCTCTACAAACTGTTCAGGAGTCCTGTATACCCCAACCCTAACCCGGTCACCAAGCCTCTCAGCTGGATCCCGTGAACTACTCGGGGTATTGGCCTCCGAGATGGTCCCTCTCGAAGGGGTGTTACTGGTAGGCTTCGAGGCCTCTGGGATGGTCCGTCCCAAAGGGGTGTTAGGATTTGGCTCAGTGGAAGCTCGAAGCTCCTCACCCCCGATGCTGCGCAAGAGCTTCAAGTGTTTTTGTGATTTGAATGCTACGGCTGGCATAGTAATCACAGACTGGTATTCGGAAACCAGCGGCGGATGACGCTTGTTTTGTCGGCCCAACATGGCCAGCGAGAGGTCCTTAGGGGATGGGCGACGACACAGGTTGAGGCCTAGCGACAAAGCCCTGCGCTCCACACAAGAAGCGAAGCGAGAGGCAAACAATGCTGGGTAGGCCGCCTCATCCTTGGTGGCATACCGAACGGAGCCAAACTCAACAATTTGTCCCCAAGGTTTGTGCATGTGCTTTCCATCGCAAAGGGCACGCAACGGCTCGAAGCAGCCAGGCGTTGCAAGCAACTTTGTGCGTTTGGGGCGAAAGCCCCCATGGCAACACAAGTCAAAGATGATTGACTGCAGTCTGGGAAGGATACGGTTAGCAACCCCTTGTGGCTCAAAGGCTTGCAACACCTCCCATAGGAAACTATTTGCGGGATTCTCAAGACTGACCACTATGTCGTGCTCCAGGCAATATCGCAAAATGCGATATGTGAAGGCATACAAACGGTTTGCCAACTTTACACGAGTGGCCTCAACTGACCCCGGCTTTAAGGAGGGCAGGCCTAGCGGGAACTCACTACTCCTAAGAGGTTGGGGTCCCGGCTGTCCATTGTACAAAGGTCTGCCTCTGGCCTTGCTGCTGGTCCCGCATGGGGCGCCCAAATGTATTGCAAACGGGCGCTGTGTCTCAAGAAAGTCCCAGAACAATTAAAGCTTGCCCTGAGTCTGTTGCCAAATCCAGCTGCGAGATGGGCACATGAGAATCGCAATGATGTTGGTCGAAACTGTGGACAGCGAATCCGCACTGCATCAGGGCCCGGGACAAGAGGCCTTTGCCTGCGAAAACCTCAAACACCATGGGTGGCCGTTCTCCCAGCTGCGCCGTTTGCACAGGCAACGGCACCTCAGGAGGTAGCACGAAGTTCAATTGGTGCGCTGCCTCCACATCCTTCGGTTCTAATTTTTCAAGTTGCTGCACCACCCAAGTGATCAGAACAACTCTTCGACCTGACCAAGGTTCAGTTTTGTGGTATTTAGACCAAGCGTCAAAGATAAGCGGATCGTCCTCAATTTCGTGAACCGCTCCAACCAGCTCTTTAGAATTGAAGACTCGAACATCGTCCCCAGGGCCCTCTATCCACAAGCCCCCCTCCTTAAAATCACTCAAGCGAAAAACCGCATTCGGCCACTGCGCGTTGCGGCCGTCACGATGCAAAGGCATGAGACTGTCTGCAAAAATGCCACATGTGGAGAAAACATGACCTGGAAGACGCTCCTGCACAAAGCGGGTCATGACACGACTTGCGTATGGAAACTCTGCACACTCCTTACGCAACCCACGGAATCCACCTTGGGAATAACAGCCGGTTACGAAGGACTGTTTCACGTCTCTCTGACCCTTCTGAAGATTTCCCTGAGGGAGCATATCAAACAAGGTCAAGAGATCATCACTCGAGATTTGGCCTGGTTTACTCAAACGGGCCTTGGACCACCCCTCAGCATCAGGGACCAGCAGGTCCCCAGTTTGCAATGCGCCCCCGTCGCTCCCTCCACTGATGGGCGCACTCAATGGAAGGGACCTTCAGGCACCAGCCTTCGGACAGCTGGTGTATGGATGATTTCCAAAGCAACCCTTTTTCCAACACTTGTGGTAGCCCTTTATGCACCGGCCCTGCTTACAGGTATTCTTGCAACCGTGCGTGTTATAAGCGAAACACAAAGGCTTGTTCGCATCATCTTTGGTCACACAACCCTCCGGCAAATCTAACTTTGAACCTGTCGCGACCTTTCCCTTGTTCCCCTTGTCCTTTCCCTTCTTGCCTTTGCCATCTCCCTTGGGAGGGGTCCAAGGTACATGTGGGATTACAGGGTTCTGCAAGGGTGCCAAATACTGCATGATGTCACTGTCAGGGCTCCTAGACAGTCTACTGATCTCCGCGTCCAAAGCAGGAGCCGCCCCTGGCGAGGCCGTTAGACGTCCCATGAGGTTGTTGCTTGCAAGAATGAACATCTGCTTATCTGCCTCAATGATTTGCGAAAGCATGACACCCTGAAAGCCCTTCGGCTGCGCTCTCTGAAGAACTGAAAACAAGAATTGAACATGTTCCTCCATGACCCTGAAGCTTGCAAGGTTCGCCAAATCGAAGGCTAAGGAGCGGCGGCTCCAAGCCTGGCGCAACCTCATCTCTGATGAAACGTCACATGTCTGATCTGCAGATTTCGTTGCAATCTTCAGGTTGTTGTCGGCATCAATGTTTATGCTGCTGTCCCTCTTCAAGCACTGTGCTTCCTGCGCCCTACTAATCCACTTGCTGGGAACGTGATACTGCAACACACCTGTTTCAAGCATTTCCACGCACAGATCTACACACGAGTTGGCTGGCCGGGTTTCAGGAGTAAAAACCAAACCTCCCAGAGACCTCTCCTGTTTAGCCTGCCTATCCAAGCGTTCCGCCGCCGCCAACTTCTTAGGATGTCCTTCCACGCCGGGCTCGATGCGGGTACGAACTTCTTCAATCGCCATGCTCACTCCTTCGAAAAGGAGCCGACGGAGGCTGGCTTTCTGAAAACCAGACGGTCTCATGCCCAATCCATCAATCCAGTTGTCCACTGCCTCGTCGGTGAGAGTCGTCGGCGTAGCCGACACCGCAAAGGCCAGGCGGCCAAAGGTGTTGAAGCTGTTGTTCAAGAGTCCTGTAAGGGTTTCCTCGGACAGTCCGATCTTTCTAGCGCGGTCCAAGAAAGCTGCTTCCGAATCAAGGTTCGCAGAAGCCATGATACACCCAGATTTCGCGATCTCACGAACAAAGAACTGACAGCTCCCCCCTTGCACTAGATAATCCCCTCATCAGAACTTCAATGACGCATGAACATGTTTCCCTAGTGAGTTCAAGCGATACTGCCTCGAAGCTGGAGCCAGATGCCATTGGACTTGCAATCGAGCTCTCACCCAGCTCCCCTCTCTCTGGCACCGCTTCCAGGTGCCATGGGCAGTAGCATTTGCATGACAAGTACGCATATTGCACCGCTCCCAGGCGCCAAGGCAGTAGCATCTGCATGACAAGTACGCATATTCTTCCGACTCCCCTCTCTCTGGCACCGCTCCCAGGCGCCAGGGGCAGTAGCATCTGCACGACAAGTACGCATATTCATCCCCTCTCTCTGGCACCGCTCCCAGGCGCCAGGGGCAGTAGCATTTGCATAACAAGTACGCATATTCTTTCGAATCCCCTCTCTCTGGCACCGCTCCCAGGCGCCAAGGGAATAGCATCTGCAAAAAACAAATGCGCATATCCTCTGCCTCACTCGTTCATGGCTCTCGTACATTGCATGCATACATCGGGATCTTCAGTCCCAACTCCAGAATATCTGGAGTATCTCGAAGTGCACAAACGACCACAGTAGAAGAAGCTTGCATCCCGAAGGCAATGCGCAATGCCTGATATACTATGAATCCGGCACTGAGAAACATCGACATTAGCAAACGGCACTCTCACTGCAGGTTGGCCTGGAAGCTCAAAGGGCCCGTCGGCCTCAGCATCATCTGCGGAGTCCTCCGACTCGCCCTCAAACCCAGCCAACTGCTCTGCTGCCGCCTCATCCCGCGCTCCTGTGCCCAGGCCTTGACCTTCCTCAGCCGCGGCCAAGGCGTCAGCAACTTGTAGCACTCTGTCGGCAGGCGCGAGATCTGGCTGAAAAGCTCCGCTTCGGATCGAGCGGTAAAGAGCTAAAAGCTTGCCGATCAAACTCGTATAAGCCTCGCGGCTATAAGTCACCATACTTTTGACCCCCGGTACAATATGGTGACCCAACAGGAGACGTTCCCCTTTGCTCAGGCGCACCACTGTCGATCGAGAAGCCCACGTAAGCAGGGTGACTTTCAAGGAATGTGTTCCCAGAACTTGTCCCTCCGTTTCAGAGCCTTCCAAAATCTCCGCTAAGTAGGAAGACGCCTCACCAGCTCCCATAGGCGTGGAGCCCCACTCATCCAGTCGCTGAGACCTTGTAGGAAGGCAAAAGCCATCCGGTCCAGCACCGAACTTGAGCCTACACTGGCGTCTGGCTTCAATCCACAAGCGCGCCCAAGAGCATTCAGTAAGCCCCTGCGCCAGCGCCGCGTATGGTGTAAATTTTGTCTTGGCCTCCTTGCTCAAAGACGTCTTGCTTCCCAGAGCATCCCCAAACAGAATCTGGCTCTCTCCCGTGCCCAGCAGCTCCAAAAGTTTTAGTTTCTGGGAATCCTTCCAGCGACAAACGGCATGCACGCAAAATAAAATCTGTCCCAAGATACATTGACCAACCGGGCCAGCTCTCACCATTGCTTCTTCAAGTCGCCGCACCTGGAAGCATGTCAGCGGGTCACGCTGCTCCAACGGCGCCTTTGACATAAAGCATGAATGAGCAACACCCTTGCATCTAGCAGAGATCACCAGCTCCAAATCCAAATGCAAAAATCTTGCAATGGCATGAAGAAAATGTAAACTCTCCAACATGTGAGCTGGTGATGTTGCCCCACAACCTTCCTCACGCAATGTGGTCAAAGCAGAATACAAGTCTGCCTCCTCCATGCGCCACGGAGAAGCCACCCCTTGCTTATAAAGTTGAACCACCAGCCTCTGCAAAGAGCCAGCCCTTTTGGTGAGCGTACCAGCCGATTTTGAACTGAAAGCATCGCTAAAACTCGCTGCAATGATCTCCTCCGTCTCAAGAGCACCCGTTTTCTGCACTAAACTTTTACCCAGAGCCGTAGCCAAAGGGTCCAGGAGCACCACAGCTTTAAGCTTCTTCAGAGCATGATTTCTCTCATCTTCATCGGACCTCTGAATGCGGACTCCCTTCAGTCGTCGCTCAATGGTCCAAGGCACATGGGCTGCATCTTCCCCTCCGTAGCTCTCTTCCGGCTTCGGAAAGTTTAAAGTCTCTCGCACACCCACCGATGGAAGGAAAGCAGCACTCGCCCAAGCATGAAGTGACGAGCTACCCGACTTCCGGTTAAAGGTCGGATGGCTCTCCCACGCCTGCCTTGGTCGTTCCAGCCTTAGCCTCTTGAAGGAGCTGTGAGCAGCCAATCTGGAGAACGAGAAATCAGAGACCTCATGCAAGGGATCCTCGCTCTCTCTGCCGATTTGCGATTCACCGTCCAATCCAGGCGGAAACTCACTGGGAGCGACACCATGATCCTCGTCCCTGATCTCTCTGTACCACTCACCCTCATCAACAGCCGAATCTTCAGGAAGAAAATTTAAATCTTCAGACTCCGGGATGTTGTCGTCCGCCTCGCTAGGCAGAGGCCGCTCATCAATCAAGTGCCACATGGACACGCGGCTTTCAGAAGACACGGACTCTCCCACCGGCAAATGGCAGCCCGACGGTTCCGCCGCCTCTCTCCCCTGATGAATCGGCCCGGCGGGCTCTGTCGGAACACCTGCGCCCTGTGCAGAAAAATCACTCATATCAAGGCTGGGCACAGAAGAAGCTAAAACGGACTTGCCAGCTTACTCTAAGCAGTTGCAGGCGCTCGACAGAGAAAAGGCAGGCCCAAATCAAGCTGGCAATGTCTCTCAGCTGAGCTGTTCTGGCCAAAGAGGCCTGCATGGCTGGGCCCACCTCTATCGAAAGCACTGGAGTAGGGGGCTCGGAACCTGCTAGACAGATGTAAGCCCCCAGTCTCAAGAAAATTTTTCTCTCGCCCTTGAGTAGCAGCGCAGCCATAGAACAATTCTCAACAAGTCCATGCTTCGCACATGAAAAATTTTCTTCAATACTAAACAAATTCTTCAAAGAGAGCATGTTTAAAATCATGCATCATGAGCTCTAGAAAACCCGCACTCTCCCCGTGCTGACCACCCCCCAAAAGAAAGACTAGTCGGCACGCCGAAGACGCCCATCGACTCACAAGCGTGTCAACTGCTGCATGTGCTGGTTCACAATTACGTTGTTAATTCGAACACCCTTGAGGTTAAGGTGTTACACTTTCTTGGGGTTAAGACAGAGTGCCATGCCCAGTGCAATTTCGAGTGCCATGTCTGCAGCAGCAGGCGGAACCGACTGAAACAAGAAGAAGACTGTTAGCAGACATTCAGCGGCAGTTTGAGGCAAACATCGCACTGGAGAAGAGATTCTTGGCCATTTCGAAAGGACAGGATGATCTGCGCCTTTGTGAAGTTGACCCCTCGCTTCTGGAGTTCCATAATGAAGGTCCTTATGAAATTCTGCCTGAGTGCAACTATGATGTGATTCTTGAAGCCAGTGGGTTTTCCTGAATGAGATCAATCTGGCAACAGATGTTGTCATAATTTTTTCCCATCATGACTTCGTGGCCATGGAAGAAACAGATGAGATTCCTCATCAACTTTTGTCATTGGAAGCGGAACATAAGGCAGAGTGCCAGGTTCCACTTCCTGGAGATCTTTGCAGGGCAGGGCAACCTCAGTCGGGAGATGCTCCGTGCTGGCTGGCAGGGACTAGCCCTGGACATCAGGTACGGCCCAGATCATGATATTCTTATTTCCAAATTCTGTTTCAGTATGTTCCCACCAGGATACAATATATTTCTGTAGCGAAATATATTCGAATCAAAATAGATTCGGAATCTCAATCAATGTATGTGTTGCCAATGGAATATAAAAAGGATTGACAAGACGCTCGGCACACACTCTTTTTAAAAGTCTGGCGAAAGCCGTCGCTCGGGGAATTCCGAGAAGTCGAGACGAAGTGAGATGGTCCCCCCGAGCATCCATGATGCTCCGCATGATGTACAGAAGTACATCATGCACAGTGCATTCGCAATGCACACATCGGATAGTCAGCGATTGACTCATCCCCGGGGAGGGCGGGCGGGACAAAAATTTTTCCGACTTGATTCGGAAAAGCTGCAAGTTGCCATCATCATAACATGTTGAAGTGATGTTGTCGCAACAAGCATGCGTAAAAGTGTTGGTTTCAAAACACAGGTTGCAAGAGAAGAGGGGAAACAAAAGGAAAAACTCCCGTTTTTCCTTTCAAACAAAATTTGGAAATAAAACCCTGTCAATCACGATTGAAGGGTGGCTTATTTCCAAATTCTGTTTCAGTATGTTCCCACCAGGATACAATATATTTCTGTAGCGAAATATATTCGAATCAAAATAGATTCGGAATCTCAATCAATGTATGTGTTGCCAATGGAATATAAAAAGGATTGACAAGACGCTCGGCACACACTCTTTTTAAAAGTCTGGCGAAAGCCGTCGCTCGGGGAATTCCGAGAAGTCGAGACGAAGTGAGATGGTCCCCCCGAGCATCCATGATGCTCCGCATGATGTACAGAAGTACATCATGCACAGTGCATTCGCAATGCACACATCGGATAGTCAGCGATTGACTCATCCCCACGGAACCAATGCAGACTTTGCGATGCTCAGCGCATCCACTTCGAATCGCCGACCAAGGCTTTCATCTGAAATTCCACGAGAAGGGTCATCTGCGATGTTAGACGCGGTATTGACTCTTTCGAACCATGGTATGCAGCACACTGCATCGATGGCATCGTGGGTGGCATCCACAATGTGCATCCCGACAGAGTTGTCGGATGCCCCTTTGATCATGCAGGCACGAGTGCCTTCATTGTCCGAGAAGACGACGAGGTTGCATCCTTTAAGGAGTCCTCTCCAAACGTGTATGCACATAAGTACGGCCAAACATTCGCATTCGAAGATTGGGTTCTTGCTCTCGGGACCAACAAGATGTCGCAGCTCAGAAGAAGCCCACTCGCTGAAGTGTCCAACTTTCGTCCCA